GGGTTTTTTTTGTTTTTTTTTTTTAACATTTTTTATTGATTTATAATCATTTTACAATGTTGTGTCAAATTCCAGTGTTCAGCACAATTTTTCAGTCATACATGGACATATACACACTCATTGTCACATTTTTTCTCTGTTAGTTACCATAACATTTTGTGTAAATTTCCCTGTGCTATACAGTATAATCTTGTTTATCTATTCTACAATTTTGAAATCCCAGTCTATCCCTTCCCACTCTCCGCCCCCCTGGCAACCACAAGTCCATCCTTTCTGTTCTTTTCACATTTTTTCTGCAGCCTGATAATCTGCATTTCTCCAGGTCACATGGTGGGAAAGCATGCCTGTGGACAGCTTCTGACTTCATATATTACAGCATTCTATGTTTCTATGTTAACTACCTAGAGAAAAACTAAAATGTCCCAGTCCTAATTCCAAATTCCCGGGAGTGGGATCTGATCAGCTTGGCTCTGGTACTACTATTGGAGCAATCAACTGCAGCCTGGTGGCCTAGTTTGTCTGAGGATTAGGGCTAGTTTCCAGAAAAAGACATCTGGCTATATCGCTGTTTTTAAAATGCAACTTGCAACTCATCTAGGGGCCAAGAGATCATTTAATGGGTGGAAACCAGCATTAAATAGTGATAAAATGCATGTGGTACAGGTAATATTTTATAAAGCTTGTTTTAATTATTAAATGTGTAGGTACATGTGTTTTGGCTGATAATGTAAAACATATTTCTTTTGGAAAATTATGATCCAAACAATTTGAAAAACCCTGGACTGGCCAATATGGTAGGATTTTGCTACAGGGATGCAATAAACATCATTCTTAAAATAATCCCTTCAGTAAATTCAAAGGTGTCATGAGTATTTTTTTTTAACAGCATCTCTTAATATAAGCAGATGAACTAAGGGTAAATCGTGACTTGATAAAGGCAGTTTAGCAGGGGTGAAGACAAAGTGGTACAAGCACACAGCTTTTTTGATAGTCTGGCTTAACTGATAAAATAAACTCCAGTGGTTCACAACCTGGCTTTGTATCAAGCTCTCGTGAGATCTTTTAAAAATGGTTTCACGAGATTTACTTAGAAGTTCTGGGAGGGTGACCTGTGAATCTGTATTTAAACACAAAGTAAAGCAAAACAAATAGAACTCCCCGGATATCTCTGATATGTAGCAGATTTGGGACTCACTTGACCCAGAGACTCTGTAGAGTAGCAAGTCATCTGCATGCCTCTCAAACAAGTCTCCATAACTGCCATTTCTCTCCACTAGGCTTTTCACAGACATCAGAAAGTGGACAGTTCAAAGTTATTCCTTGGTAAGGGTGTGGAATATAAGACCTCACAGCTGCTGATTAAAGGCAGAGCCATACACTTCACAGCTCAGTGAAGCAGATGGTAAGGTTTATCTTCTTTTGTTGGACATTGTGGCACTAACACTCATGCTTGGATGGAGGCAGGGCTCAGGAGAGAAGTAGAGAGAAAATTCTTGCAGGCTATTCCAGACCCTCGTTAGACAATAATTCTGTACTTCCTGAGAACAAAGTTTGCCAAATACTCCAAAGTTCTACAGTACAAGACATGGTGGGGATTATTTGTGTTTGGAAAATTTGCAAAACTGGTTACCAGTTGCCCAGCAGGGCCATTTTGAGTTTTCAGATGAACCTGACAGGACGAATCCATTGCCAGTGGTAGACCTCTACCTCTAAGCAATAAAATGAATCGACCTACTGTAACAAGTTCTTGGCTATTAATCAAATAAATTTTAGATGACATCTGCCTGAATAATTAGGCCAGTATCATGAGAGTTGAATTTCTTTTCCCCCAGCTGCTACAGAGCAAGACCCATGTCCACAGAAGCCATTCCTAGTTCAGGTCAAGAAATACATTAGCATACAGCTGGAGTCCATATTTCCAGCCTCTGTTGCAAAGGGCATGCATTCAGAGGGTTCCACAGAGGTTTGTGGCTAAAACATATTCCTGGGAATTGTCCTTTGATCTGTCAAGAGCCTTCTCAGCCCCTCTGTGGAGACAAACACCCTCCACTCCCAGCCCCTGGGACTGATACTCGATTCATTTCCCTGTCTTGTAGGCCAGCTCTGAACCCACTGCAGTGTTGAGAGTTAGAGCCCCAGCTCCAACTGTCTGGACCACAAGGCCTTGGGCTCTGAGCAAGAATACTGGCCTGGACATCATCTCAATACTGTTATATCACTGTTACAAAGTTTGAATTTCGTGTAACATGTTTCTGTTTCAGTGTCGCCGAGGTGGTTCCTCAGGTCCATCCCAAAGAGGAACTGCTCGCGGGACGCCTCCGAGCGCACCTGGGGGCACCTTCCTCGCCAACCCGGCCGCAGGGAGAGGGGCTTCGCTCCAGGCTACGCGCTTTGTCCCCGCGCGGCCCCCGTCCACCTCCCTGTCGCTTCCCCGCCGGCCGAAAAGTTTCTCCAGGTGCGGGATTCCGGGCTCGGCGACCACCAGCGCGAAGTGTGAGCGCCAGTCGGGAGCCAGCACGCCCGCCGGCCCAGGTGAGTGGCTGCTGGCGTCTGGGCGCAGGGCGGCCCCCGCGGGAGTGGGCGAGCGGCCGGGCCAAAGCGGACCTGCCGTTGCTATGACAACGCGCCGGCAAACCGGCCGCTGGGCCTCCGGCTGCCGGGTCGGCTGGCGGCCCCCGCCGCCCGCTCCTAGTGTCTCCTGGGGCCCAGCCGTTGGGACCCCATTTTCCCCGGGTCGGTGTTTGGGGTGGTCCTTGGTTGCCCCGATTCATCCCCACCTTCTCACCTCGACCACATCTTGAGACGTGAACCGTTTTGAAATTTAAAGCTGACTTACTCTAGGGTAAGTGTGATTTGGGAAAAATAACACATCCTTGAAAGTTCTGAAGTTGCGGGGGTTTTCCCCTCCTTTCTTCTTTTTTTAATCTCCCAAAGCCTGACACCTAGTAGGACCTCGTTATATGGTAGCTCTTGCTTACCACACTTAGTGTAGTTCCTTGCACACAGTGGGTGCACATTCGAGGAGCCTCTTACTGGTTATGTGGACAGGTAATTTAGGCGCTCTGCCTCAATTTCCTCATCTGTAAGGGCAGGTTATAATTTCTCACGCAGTGTTGTGGGCTCGAAGGAGCCTGTATATGAAACTGCTTTGTGAGCAGTAAAGGTCAAGCATTTGGGGTTTAGTTGTAAGGGGTATTTACATGCTGCACGTGGTTTGAGTCTCCCGGTCCCCTGTCACCAGCCAAGGAGGACCTTCTTTTCTGTCTGATCACCAAACAACTCCAGTATCCAACCAGGAAACAGAGTGGTCATGCATCAGAAGAGGGTTCTGCCAGTGAAAAGAAACAGCAGCAGGGTTTTGAGCCTAACTTTCTCCACTTTTCTCTCCTTAGAGGCATTGTTACAATTGTAATTTTATTTGTGTGTCTGACACATAGTGTGTGGTAAATAAGTACTTAAATGTTTGAGCTATAAGGATTTTCCATGTCATTCAACAGTCTCTCAAAATAAGCATCCTGGTTAAGAGCACAGACTCCAGAGCCAGGCAGAAGCACAGGTGTGAATTCCAGCTCTGCCACAGTTCCTTATCTGAAACCCATGGGGGCAGTTTGTGTTTTAAAATTCAGAATTTTTCAGATTATGGAAAGACAACATAGTGTATAAACTGCACCACTTCTAGTAGGGTCTGGGGAAGTACCCTAGAAATAACACATTAATTCTTTCAACTTCATTCTAAGTGTGATAAGTAAAGACTGTACATACTTTCACATGAGTTCAGGTCAGGTTTCGCCAACAGATCAATTTGCCTCATGTATGAGTACATGTGGTGTTTGGAGCTTTTTGGATTTTAGAATTTCAGATAAGGGCATATGAGTCTCTGCCAGTGTAGCTGCTCAGATTCCTCAGCTGTAAAATGAAAATGTTAGTGTCTGCCTACCTCCCAGGTTCCATTCATGTTTTGGGAGGAGTAAATGAGTTAGTACATGTTAACTGCTTAGGACAGTGAATGATCCTTAATCAGTGCTATAGAAAAGAGTCAGCTCTTAGGATATTATTTTTATTGGCTCCACAATAATCCACACTGTGGACAAACCATAATTTATTTGCAATTTATTTATTGTTGGATAGTTATATTTCAAGTACAAAACTGTAGCAATGAATGTCTTTATACTTAAATCTTTTGACTAGATTTTTGATTACTGAAGATCAGTTCCTAAAAATAAACTACAGTCAAAGGGCAGAGTGAATGCTCTTCAAACTTCCTGTTATCCATAGAAAGATTATACCAGTTTGCCATCCTGCTGTCAGTTTTGTGACACCTGTGTTAGCATTATCATTAAAAAAAAAACTGTAAATTTCACAGATTAAAAATAGTGCCTCATTTTAACTCACATCTTACATTATTAATGTGTTTAGCCATTAAAAAAAATCTTGCTGTTAGTTATTAGGTATTTCTTTTCTGTGAATTGCCTGTACAAGCTCTTTGATGGTTTTTATTTTGGAGTCTCAGTTTTTCTTAATTGTTTAATTTTTGATATTTCCATGCTGGACTTTGGCTGGAATTAGTTGGATAAGGTATCCCTGGAGCCTGGGGCAAGTTGTTACTTGCCTGCAGGCTACAGAGCAATGTAGAAAGCAGTGTTTCAGAGGCTGGATCTTGAGGAAAATCAGAAATCAAGACCAGGCTGTTTATCTGAATCTTCAGGCCAACAGAGCTTAGAAGAAAGAGAGCATCCAGGTAGGAAGCAAAAGAATTAGGAAGAAGAAAGAAGGAGAGTGATCCTGAAAGCTGAGAGAGAGATGCTGTAACCTCTTTTACATTTTTTTTTGTAGGGATCTAGCAATTTCTTGTATGGATGATGGGGGAATGGGGGTGGGGGCACTGTCTTGGCCAGACACTGGTTTGTGTGAACTCTTTGTAGAGTAAGGATATTAACCCTTGCTTGACATAGGGGGGTGTTTCTCTTACAATTGCCTTTTCATTTAATTTATAATGGCTTTTGATTTATAGAAATTAAAACAATTTATGTTGCCTACTTATTAACCTATTCCTTTTTGGTTCATTGCTTTTATGCTTAGAAAATCTTTTTCATGCAGAGACCAGGTAACACTCTACATTTTCTTTAAAAATGTTACTTTGTGATGTCAGCAAATCAAGGAAGAGTTAATGAAAGTGAAAGAACTGAGTAGTGTGATTTCCAACAAAAAACCTAAAAGGTGATGATATAAAGGGTGATACTCATGTCATCTTCCTGTCTCCTTGAAGACAGAAGAAAAGAGTTTATACTGCTGTATAAGAGATTGACGGAGACTTTCTCTGGCGGTGTCATACATTGTGAACTTGTAGAATCGTATCCTCAGAGACTTTTAGAAGTGTCCTGAAAGAGATGTGATCTCTGAAGATATTTCCTACTTCTTTTATCTGCCTGATGGTCCTATATAGTATTTCAAGCACCCACGGTTCTTAGATACTGAGAAATAATTTCCTTGTTTTTAAAAAAGGCTTAAAAAGGGGAAAATGTATTGTAGAATTAAATGCTGACCTTCTTGGCACTGGTAAATTAGCATGCTTTCAGATGTGCTTCAGAAGGAATTTCCCTCCCTGCTGAGATCCGGTTATGGGTCAGTGAGGCAAATTGTGTTTTCTTTGGATCTGTCTTAGGGTTCCAGAATGTGAAGAGTAGACAACTTATTGTTAAACTGTATTAATATATATTCTCTTAGTTTATTAACTAAAATAAATTGTAAGGTGCATGAAAGACTAATCACCTTAGGAATTCCTGCAGTTTTGTCAACCCCAAGCTGTTTAATTTCTGGAAGGTTTGTAAGGCGAGGGGCAGTATCTTTTGTAATTCATCAGAATATCCTTTTTATTTATAATAGACTAATTATCTTTCTTAATAACCACTGACTTCTCAGTTTGACTATCAGAGAGGATGTGGTATAACATCAAGAATAAAGCCAGAAAAAGCAACTTTCTATTGAAGAAAAGTTGATTTAGAAATAGTGTTAACATTTACTTTATTTTTTAATCTAAATTACTTAGTAGACATTATTAACTATTATAAACTTGAATTCAACAGATATTTATTGCATGCCTACAATATTCTGAGCACAGTTCTAGAATATTGTGTCATATTTTTACTTTTACATTGTATGTGTCCAAAGTTTGCTTATAATTCAATATTCTTAACATGAGCTGTGTTTACATGGAAAAACTAGTCATTTGGACTCAGACATATTCATTCAGAGAATCTAAGAAAAGCCTTATAGAAGATGTTCATCCAGTCTCTAAGGATGAGATGCTGTTAATTGAAAGTTCTACTCTGTTACTTTGTTGTTATGGTGGAATGCTCATCTGCAGTGACAGAGCTGCTGGGAGAGAATCCATCTACCGTTTACCAAAGGCAGTGGGTCTGAGGCTCAGGTTCTTATACTTGAATTCTTCCAAGTCTGTTTGCTGTCAGCAAATCTAACATAGAGGCACTTGAATCTGCTCCAGGGAGCTCAGTTTCCAACCAGCTGAGGTACTGGGAAGAAAGCAAATATTTACCCTTGGACGTTTTTCATGGAAATCAAATTAATTTTTCCTCTCAATCTTCTTTATGTTGGCCTTTAGTTTGTGGCAATAAAATTCGATACTTTTCATATTTGTGATTATGAAAGTAAACACCAATGTCCAGCAGTGATTTTTCAAGTTAACTTAATTGCTTTTCTGTCCTGTCTCTTTGATGGTACATACGTTATAATGTGTTCACCTAGCTCCTTTTTATACTCACAGCTCACTTTTTTATTGAGACTATACCATATAATTCACCCTTTTAAACTGTAAAATTAAGTTTTTGCAATCATCAGACTGTCTAATTTTAGAATGTTTCATCACCCCCAAAATGAAGCCCCACATCCATTTGCAGTCACTCTCCATTCTCTACCTCACCCCTGCATCTGGCAAACACTAATCTGCTTTCTCTCTATATGGATTTGCCTATTATTGTGGGCATCTTATGTAAATGGAATCATGCAGCATGGGGCCTTTTTGCATTTGACTTCTTTCATTAAGCATGATGTTTCCAAGAATCATTTCTGTTGTAATGTGTATCTATCCTTCCTTCTTTCTATAACCAAATAAAATTCCATTGTGTAGTTATAACACATTGTTTTTTGTTTGTTTAAATTTATTTATTTTTTAATTGAAGTATAGTTAGTTACAGTGTGTCAATTTCTGGCATACAGCATAATGTCCCAGTCATGCATATATATATATATATTTGTTTTCATATTTTTTCATTAAAAGATATTATAAGATATTAAATATAGTTCCCTGTGCTATATAGAAGAAATTTGTTTTTATCTATTTTTATATATAGTGGTTAACCGTTGCAAATCCCAAAGTCCCAAATTTATCCCTTCCCACCCCTTTTTCTCCAGCAGCCATGGGATTGTTTACTATGTCTGCAAGTCTGTTTCTGTTTTGTAGATTAGTTCATTAGTGTCCTCTTTTTTCTTTTTTCTTTTTTTTAGATTTCACATAT